TTATATCTATCCATCATCTGTCCACCCACCCATCCACCCATCCACCCATCCACCCATCCATCCATCCATCCATCCATCCATCCATCCATCCATCCATCCATCCATCCTCATCATTTATGACCACTTTTTCATTCCAACTTCCTACCTGAACATCTCTCTCTGCTGCACCAAATCTACTCAAGTCTGCATTTTCTGAATTCTCGGTGTTCTTCTAGTCTGTAAAATTATTGCTTGGGTATTTTTATGCTCTCCTTTATTTTTGTTTCTGTTTTTTCTTCTTACATGTGTATTTGGCCCAAAAGATGCCAAAGCAATTTGAAGGTAATGAGAAGAGAGAGGACATTTATAAGCCAAGTCAGAACCAAAGGAAAACAACCAACAGTAGTGTGTGTGTGTGTGTGTGTGTGTGTGGGTCTCCTATGACTTCACTGGTCCAAATGCTCAAAGAGACATCCTTTGGAACTGAAATTAATGAGACCTGCTCTCAGCCAGTCACTAGTGATAAATTAGTGCAACACATTAAAAGCCATGGTTCACACACTTAGCAAGGTTGGGTAAAGGCTGCTTTCACACAGCACACTAAGCTAGATTAATTGTTTTCATTGTGTTATGGGAACTCAGCCTGTCCAATTGGGTTGATAGATTAATGGCTTCTACAAATCCAGAAAATGGGCTGATTCAGTAACCAACTTAAGTGTGTGAATGCAGCCAATATTTAATAAAGGTAATAATGATAATGTATACCATCTATACCAACCACCCAGAGTCATTGGGAGTTGGGCAGCATATAAATTTACTGTTGGTTGCACAGTCAGCCAGATGTTTAGACTGGATTTGGCATTTTTGTCCACCTATCGAGTCCTTCTCAAGGAACTTGGATCGGCAGATGTTGTTTGATGGTTTGATGGTGTTAAAGGGATTGTCGCAGGATGATTTACTGTTCCAGGTAAAGCTGCCATTTGCAATTGACTGATGATGATTTTGTCAATGCCGATGGTGTTCAAGTGGTGCGCCAGATGTTTTGGGATTGCGCCCAAGGCACCTATTGCCATTGGTACCATCTTTGCTTTCTTTTGCCATAGTCATTAAGCAAGATGCCTGTCTGTTTGGATCTTAAAGTCCCATAACATCTTAACCTGCTCATTTTCTAAAACTTTCTCAACTTCATAATCTCAGTCGTTATAGTTACATTTAAATCCAAACCTCTGGCAAAGTTTCCAATGAATAATTTTAGCAACTTGGTCATGATGCTGCTTATAGTCAGTTTGTGAAGTTTTGCTGCAGCCACTGATCAAATGATCAACTGTTTCATCCTTTTCACTACAAAGGTGACATTTGCTGCTGTTTGTTACATGCTGAATTTTCGTTTTCATGCAATTAATTGGCAAAGCTTGTTCTTGAATCGCTAAAATAAAACCTTCAGTTTCTTTCTTTAACACTCTTGATCTTAACTGGCTCCATGTGGAGTTTTTATCAGCTTTCCCTTCTACTTCCTCTAAGTATTGACCATGCATTGGCTTGTTCTTCCAATTTACAAATCAGTTTTCAATTGTTTCTGTTCAGCCTTCACCTCTGATGTTTTCAAAAGCTTTCTTTGATTGACTTCCTTCAGCAAGGATTCCTGGCCTTGCTTTTCTTCCTCTGTCGTTTGTTTCACCTGAAGAGTCCTCTGCCCCCTTCAGCTCTAGGCAAACACAGCGGATCAATATCACTTTTTTGGGTGTAGAACATGGTGCATTCTCATTAGTTTTCTGATCCAAATTATCAAGTTCCATCTGGGTCCAGCCAACTATTCCTGCTGTATATTGAATAATACCTGGGGACTGTCCAGGTATTAATAGCTTTGACGATGTTCCCACCATTTAGCTTTGATTTCAACATTTTCTGAACTCGTTTGATATATTTGGTAGAAGTACTTTCTTTGACTTGGTTCTATAGTAAATTGGAAACTTCCAAAATTCTCAGATATTTGTAGCGTTCTTCTGGTGCTACTGGAAAAGTTTGTGGGAAAACAACAGGAGTCACAATAGGAATGCAAAATGGGTCAAGCAAGTTGAAAATGCAGTGAAAGTACTTAGCATGGAAGATATTAAGGATAAGTGAGGAAACGGTACGAAAGCAATCAGAGAAGGTCAAAAACTGGAGTGCTCCTGAACCAGATGCACTCCATGTATTCATTATCAAGCTGAATTCCATCATCTTCAACAATTTTGCCTACCTTTATGGCTATGGTTGCACACATCAATGCCAAATTGCATTCCAATATCTTTGCTGAATTATTTTGTGCTTTTTAGTAAGAAATGTAGTTCAGCCTTCATTTTTCCAGATAATTTTAAATCATCCATGTAGAGTAAATGCGAAATTTTTACTCCTTTTTTGGCCAATTCATATCTACAGTTAGTCTTGTTCAAAACTGTTGTCAGTGGGGCCGTTGATAGTATAAAGAGTAAATGTGATAATGAGTTGCCTTGGAAAATTCCACATTTGATTTTAACTTTTCTTAACTCTTCCCCATTAGCCATCAGCTTTGTTTGCCAAAACTTCATTGAAGTATTCATAAATTGCCGAATGTTTCTGCTGATTCCAAAACTTTCAAGACATTTCTCAATCCAGCTATGTGGAACAGAAATGAATGCCTTTTTATAGTCTATCCAAGCCATAAACAAATTTGTTTTTGTTTTTGTTTTAATTCTTCAAAACCAACTTGTCAATCAGTAATTGATCCTTCATTCTTCTCGAATTTTTGCAGCACCCTTTTTGTTCTACAGGGAGTAAATCATTCCTTTTCAGATAGCTATAGATTTGATTTGCAATTATGCCCGTAAGTGGCTTGTATGTTGTAGGCAAACAGGTTATGGATCTGTAGTTTCCGGGCTCATTTCCCTTCTCCTTGTCCTTCTGAATTAGGAATGTTCTCCCAGGTGTTCACCATTCTTCATTTTCTGGTGCTTCCAAAACTGTATACATCTGATCTGCCAAACTCAAATGTAGACTCATCAGTGATTTTAGCCAGAATCCATGGAGTGGATCTGGTCCAGGAAGACTCCAGTTTTTGACTTTCTCCGATTGCTTTCGTACTGTTTCCTCGGTTATCCTTAATATCTTCCATGCTAAGTACTTTCACTGCATTTTCATTTTGCATTCCTATTGTGACTCCTGTTGTTTTCCCACAAACTTTTCCAAGATTTTTGGGTTTTTCTTCACCAGGCTTTTCATTATTTATTGTCAGCTGTTTCCTATTTTCAAGAGTTTTATAGAATTGGTGCTGATGTGCTCTAAGCTGCGAATTCTGCTTGAATTGGATTATTCAATTGTCGTGCTGCTTGATCTTCTCTGCAATAGCCCCGACTCTTCGTTTCAATTGTTCCAGAACCTCTGCGATTCCTTTACTCTCCAAGTTGTACTTCACACACAGGCTGGTTTTGATTTTCTTATTCTTCAGATTTCCTTGCCTTGAATTCTTCAAATTGCTCGAATCCATTTTCTTTATCTTCAATTCCAAGTGAATTTTCCATTTAGATTTTCCTTTCTCAATAACTTCCTTTCTTCGATTCTTCAGTAGTTACATAGGCTGTGGCATACATCAGCTGGTCCGTTTCAGTCAGTGTTTCAGTTGGCATAATTTTGACAGCTTTGTTAATATTCTTCACTATTGTAGCCAGTCTCCTTGTTAATTTGATTCAATTTTGGCATTATTATTATTATTATTATTATTATTATTATTATTATTATTATTATTATACATACTAATTACACTTTGGAATCTTCGTGCCCTTAGAAAGGTGGGGGCTGCGCTGGGTCTTGAATGGAACCCTTCCCACTTGCCAAACACACTTTGACTTATTATTTTGTCGCACGCAGGTGTCCAAACCGAGGGTTCTTCTTCTCCATGGATCTCCCAAATATTTCCTGGTATGACGACGGCTATGAAAACAGGACCTTCAATGGCTCCAGCCTGGAGCAGAAGCCCACCCACTACAACTACTATGCCATGCTGCTCACCCTCCTGATCTTTGTCATCGTCTTTGGCAACGTGCTGGTCTGCATGGCCGTGTCCAAGGAGAAGGCTCTGCAGACCACCACCAACTACCTGATAGTCAGCCTTGCCGTGGCCGACCTGCTCGTGGCTACGCTGGTGATGCCGTGGGTGGTCTACCTGGAGGTAAGGGCGCCACGACTCTAGCCTGTTGCAACCTCAGGTCAACTGGAGGCCTTGCAGCCGTTCATTGCAGGAATTCCATTCAGGTGCCTTTCAGAGCAGGAAACAGCTGAGAGAAAATGTGGGCAAGCAGGATAAATGTCAGGGTGACGTAAAATGTCTCTCTGCGGCTTTGAGTTAAATTGCGAGCCTGCACCCGTGGGAGTTCTCCCTGAAAGAGAAAGTATCGCTCCCGGAGGTCAGGTTTCCTGGTGAACTCAGGGAAACAACGTGCACTTTTCTTGGCAGAGACACAAAAGTGGCTCACTGCTGCTATTTTTTTGGCTTCCCAGTCTAGCATGCAGCCCTGGGATTTCCCTGGTAGTCAGTCTTCCAAACGCTAACCCTGTTTAGATTCCAAGGTTGCGCGGGTGCCTCCACCTGCTGAGACTAATAAAGCATCCATACCCCAAGCCCCCTTACAAGTACTCCACGGAGGGCTGTGCATTTCTAACAATCCTTGTTCCATGTCTGGAAAATGCGTGCATGTTTTGTTGTAATCATGAGGCATTATGATCATATGTGATCAGGAATGCATATTTGAGAAAGAGAGAGAAACCATCAAGTCCACGCCACAAGCAGTTAATGCTCTCCTTTCCTTGCATTTCAAAAGACCGGGCTTCCCCCACCACATCACCTAGCATCAAAATTGTCTTTGATTACATTGCCAGGAAGATATCACCAGTTTTTAAAAATGGCCTAGGTTGCTCCGGAACCCAAGAATCAGCGTGTCTTTATCAATCCAGGTGATTATCACGTCTGAGGCCTTAAGCCATTGACTTGTGGGGCGGAGGCAGAATCTGATTTTGTTCCACTTCTACCATCTGGGGAGGTTGGTAAGCAAGCGAGATGGAAATCCCTACCCTTGGAAAGCTCTGATTCCATGTTGCTCCTCTCCCTAATACTGCAGATTGCCTTGTTTCAGTTGGCTTCGCACTAATTACATTTTTCTTTCCCTTTGGTTGGGTTCCAGAGACTATGTAGGACATTGCCTTTTTGTGAAGATTTTCACTCTGTGCATGTCTTCAAGAGTCATACTGGAGGAACATCTAAAGATTCAGATACCTGTTTATCCCTATAATGAATATAAATGCAGACACTCCTTTACTGAGAAGAATCTTCAGGAGAGAAAAGGGACCTTCTGATCCCTAATGATGGGCTGCCCAGCCCCCCCCCCGATCCTTGGGCTGAGGATGCTCCTCGTTCATTTCTCCTCTCTCTCCAGGTGGTCGGTGAGTGGCGATTCAGCCGCATCCACTGCGACATCTTTGTCACCCTGGATGTGATGATGTGCACAGCGAGCATCCTTAACCTCTGCGCCATCAGCATTGACAGGTAAGGGGCTCTCTCTGGGTCTGCCAGGCCAAGCCTTCCAGCTCCCCCGCTCATTTTCTCTTTGTCACCTCTGGGCCCAAATCCCCGCACAATTTCTTCTCTCTCGCTTGCTTCAAGAGCTGGGAGGTTCTAGCCCTGTCCCTTTTGGTGTGTCCTTCGCAACAGATACACCGCCGTGGCCATGCCCATGCTGTACAACACCCGCTACAGCTCCAAGCGCAGAGTCACCGTGATGATCGCCGTGGTGTGGATCCTCTCCTTCGCCATCTCCTGCCCGCTGATGTTTGGGCTAAACAACACAGGTATGCAGGAGAGCAAGATACGTTGCCAGGCTGGATTAAAGTCCTCGGGCACCAGCATGCTCTCTCTGTCCTGGGTATCGCAGAGTTTTCTCGCTGATCAGAGTAAAGGGAAGATGTACAGAGGGAAACCCACAGACACGCAGAGCAAAGCAGAGCAAGGAGAAATCAAGGCACCTTGCCAGGGTGATCAATAGTTCCGCTGAGTCTTTTGGTCGCCCCAGCTGTCCCAGCTGCACCCCCTGGCCTCCTGTGCCAGGCCCCTCGTTCCACCACTTGCTCTCACCCTCTCAAGTTGGAAATGCTTTTAAACAGCTTGATCCAGTCTCAGATACACTTCTTGTAGGTTTACCTTTGGTTGATTTCAGTGGAGTTTTGTAAGGATGGGGAGGGGGGAAGGGACCCGATCCCCTGTCCATCCATGAAGGTGACTGTGCTGTAAGGCTCAAAACCTGGACCATCTTGCCACCCCTTAAAATGAGCCATGTTTGTGGGGAGGGGGAAGTTTTCCCCCCAATTCACCATGGCTCTCTATTGAAGTCTGAGTAAGAGCCATGGCCATTCACCAGTTCTATCCCTCAAGTGGAAAATCTCATCCTTGAACTTCTGTTCCTCAGAACGAAGGGTGAAGATGGGATCCCAGCCCCAGAGGAGCCTCTGCTGCCCTTCTTGCGCCCACAGCTCTTTGAACACCCAAGCTGACCGCAGCTCCTAATGGCTGGGGCAACATTCCTGTCCTCTCTTGTGTCTTCCAGACAAGAATGAGTGTATCATTGCCAACCCTGCCTTTGTTGTGTATTCTTCTATCGTCTCCTTCTACGTTCCTTTCATTGTCACCCTGCTGGTGTACGTGCAGATATATATAGTGTTGCGGAAACGCAGAAAACGGGTCAACACCAAGCGCATCGCCAGCCACGTGGGCCTGGACACAGACGCGCGGGCCCCGTTGAAGGTAACCCCAGCTCTCTCTTCACGATCTCCATCTTTTCTCCCCCGCTTCTCCAGTAAGGTTTTTCACCCTAAGACTTCTCCACTCCTCATGTTCCTTCCCAAGTCAATGGTGTTCCATGCAAAGGTGGCTGCAGGAGATGTTTCTCCAACGTACAGCAACACTGCCATTCTTGGAAATATTGGCCCCAGAATTAATGGGGTGCTTTGCCAGACTGATTAGTCTTCTTATCTCTGGAGGGAAAAAATGTCTGGGTGTATGTGTGTGGGTAGTGTGTATGCGTGCATAGTGTTATAAATCCATGTGGAATTAGAAGAGTTAAGAAAACAGGCAGGAAGAATAGCCCAGTGACATATCAGTTCTGTCCACGCAGAAGACCCTCAAGTCAGTTTAAAGATCAAGTTTAAACTTGCAAAACTTAGTTAGCTTAATCTTAGTCAGGGGTGTGTGTATGTGTGTGTGTAAGTGTGGTATGTGAAACCAGCCCATTTGGTTAAGTGATGACTCACTGTACTGTGTGAGCCCAGAACGTGGGTTGGTTCAGGTAATGAGGGTCAGGTGAACCCAGGCAGAAGAACCATCCAGGGGACAGCTTAGTCTTTCATAGGCATAAATATATAGAAGGCAAAGAATAGAGGCAGAGAAATAGACGTGGATTAATGGACTAATCCTTCATCATTATTAAATATCATAAATAAATATCACTTATCGTGCCCAAATGGCTCTTGAGAAAATTTCAGGCATGTTCCTTCTATCTGCAGGCTAAATGTAAATAACAAAAACAGCAATCACCACATTTCTGGGGGCTATTTGGTGGCTGAGAGGAAGCCCTAGATTCGCCCAAACCCAGCTTCTCCTCCTGTGCTCACTCAGCTCAAGGCCTCCCTGGGTCTGGGGCTCCCATGGATCAAAGGCCCTGTAGCTCAAGCAGCGCTTCAGCATCAGGTCTTGCTGAGCGAGGCTGGGCTACGAAAGCCGCACATGGGTAGAAAAAGCTCAGCGTGGCAGCAGGAGCAGCAGGGTCACTGTGGGCCAAACTAGACCCACCCAGCCAGCCAGCCAGCCAGCCAGGGACTTCAACCGGATGGCACCAGCAACATGTCACCACCAGTAATGATGATGGCATCCCGGGGAGATGGGATGGGTACCACCACCGTTTCTGCCATGGGTGCCTCTGTCCCGGGCTGCCACAGGGAAAGCACCAAGTGCTGTGTGTTAGGGATGGGGCTAGTAAAATTAAGGTGGTCTCACTGATGATGTCAGTGGGACCAGCAAAGGCAGTTTGCCAAAGTGTCCCAAACTCAAACCAGAAGCCAGCGAACGTCCACGCAAAACTCCATTGCCGTGGCCGCCTAAGACCAGTGGTGCCAATGGCTAGGAAAGAGTCAGTGCAACCTGTCACTCTCTCTTCCACATTAAGATGGCTAATCTTGGGTGGCTCAACCCAAATGCTGGTCTTGCTGCTTAGCCAAACTCTGAAAGCTCCTTGGGGCAGCATTTGCTTTGAAGAAACCCTAATATTACCAAAGGTACGGCTCAGCAGTTATTTCTAAGTCCATTTCACCCAGGATGAAGTACAGAGAAGCTGTTTCTCCCTTGTGGGGGGGATGGAGCTCTTCCCTGTTCAGGGCCTGGTCTCTAGATCCTTCTCCCTGGCTCTACTCTTTGGATAATTTTTTTTTTAAGACGTTTTATCCCGTCTTTATTACTTTTTGTAAATAACTCAAGGTGGCGAACATACCTCATACTCCTTCCTCCTCCTATTTTCCCCAATGCCTTCACCACTGGACCAAACTGGCTCTCTTAGTTATAAGAATATCCTCTTACAATAATAATAATTATAATTATTAGTTAAAAAAATATTCTCTTGGAATCTTTTCTGCCTTATGCCAACCATCCTTCTCTTCTTTCCTCCTCTCCCTTCTTCAGGAGACATGTACCCATCCAGGAGACATCAGACTCTGCACACTTATGGTGAAAAGCAACGGGAGCTTCCCGGTGCACAAGGGCAAAGTGGTGAGTGTCAGGGCCGAGCCCCCAGGTCTAAGCAAATGCACACTTGGCTTTGAAGGTTTTATGACAGCCTTGACACACAACCACAGAATGGAAGCTGGCCCCCATATACATTTTTATACACAACTTTAAAAAGTGCTTCAAGAGAAAAAGCATATCCTTCTAAATGTACTGTACGAGCTGGATATTGCCATCAGCCCCACGACAAAGCTCAATTCTTTCCCACCAATAAACTTGGGTGGTTCCCCTACATTCCCCAAAGCCTGTTTGCCTTTCAGGAGCCCAATACAGGAAAGGAGATGGTCCACCTTTCTTCCTGCTCTTTTTGGTAGTCCTGTGATGGCTTTCTTCCATTCATATTGAGCAGAGTTTCTCAACCTTGGCAACTTTAAGATGCGTGGACTTCAACTCCCAGCATTCCCCAGCCAGCA